TATCTTGAAAGACTGTGGGAGAGGAAAGACTATGCTGGAGAGGAATTCACTGTAAATTAAATAAAAGGGGTTCATCGGGACAAGGACTCGGCTTTGTGCTGCTGGGGAAGCCTACGTCAGAACATAAAGCTCTCATTTCTCCTCTTATTTGTTGCAGAAGAAGAAGGATTTCCAACTGGAGAACGTCCATCTGATTGGCTACAGTCTCGGGGCCCATATTGCTGGCTATACTGGAAACTATGCCCGGGGCACTATTGGAAGAATTACAGGTAACCACCTGGTGGCTTTTTCTTGCTTTCCAAAAACATTGTAGAGGTTTGTCTCCTGCTTCTGCAACTGCCAGATGTCCCATTTAGTGCAAGAAGTGGTTTTGTAGCCCCAGCCTAGAGAATTAATCCAGGGCGCTCCAAATTTGGCAATTTTAAGACTCAACGTGGCTGGCTGAGGAATTCTGAGAGTTGAAGTCCACAAGTCTTAAAGTTGCCTGGTATAGAATCTCCTGTTTGAGCTGGGCCTTAGACTAGAACAGGGGTCTCCAACCAGGGGTCGGATTCAAAAAATTTAGCAACTGGATCTCTGCCCGGTTGCTGGGTGGCTGTGGCCATGGTGGGCGTGGCCTACTCTGCCTCCTGCACCATGGCGGTGGGGGGTTGCCCTCCCCAGGCTCCAGAGTCTTTCTTTGAGCCTCCGGGAGGACGAAAACAGCCTCTACCGGGCTCCAGAGACCCTACGGAGGCTGGAAACGAGTCCTTTTCTGGACTTCCGGGAAATTCTGGAAAGCCTGTTTTTCACCCTCCATGAGCCTCCACCCAGCTCCTGCACTTACCTGGCATCCAAAATGGGCCGCGTGGAGACTCCTGGGAGCGAAGTGGCTGGGTGGGTGTGGACAGCCAGTCTTTGCAACTAATGGACGAACCTGATGTAAAATTAGCATCCGATTTGCCTGAACCGGCCCAAACTGTCTGAATCCCACTCTTTGTCTCCCACACAGCCTCGCTGGCTGGGGAATTCTGGGAGTTGAAGTCCACCAGGCTTAAAGTTGCCAAGTTTGGAGACCCCTGATTTTGTCGACCCTGCCTAAGTTTTGTGTGCTCCTTCAAGTAATTAATCAAAGCCATCCCACTCGAAATAGCCTTGGGTACACCGATCTCTCTAGGCTGCCTACTACGCACGCTCTTGGGTGTAATTGCAGAGCTGTGTTTTGGCCAAGGCTGGGTGGTGGTTAGTGGTGGACGGGGCCAAAGTCAGAAGGCAGGAGGGCATCTCATTTCGGTCTCTGCCTTTTCTTCTGTTTTTTTGCCATGTCATCAGCTTTTTGATTTCCAGTGCCCTCAAGTCCTTCATTACGCAGGAGAAAAGTTAAGGAAAAAAATCTTTTATTGGCATTAGTGGCAGATTTGCACTCCTCAATCCACCCTTAACCTTAATTGCCATGTGAAAGAAAGCATTTTTTTGGGGAAGGGCTCATCCGTGAAACTTTTCTTCCCAGCTCTGCGTGTACGTGTGTTTCAGTATGTACGCCTTTTATCTGTGCACACACCCAGAACCTCATTTTGCCAAGAATATTTCCCCCAAACTTCGCGTCTCATTGAGGATCTACTTTCTCCTTCCAAGCCAGACAACCTGTCACCCCAAAGCTAGGAGGGATCCCCAATCCTGCTTTTTTTGTGAGACTCGGAATTGCGGAAAATATGCTGCTCTTTTGAGGTAGAAATGCATGACGTTTTTTCATCAAAAGTCACCATGGGAGGCATAAAAGTTTCATAGTTCTTTTGTGAATGAAAACCTTCTTCCGTTTTCCTTTTTCCCCTCCTTCTGAGGTTTTCTACATGTTTTTTAGCAGTTAGACTTATCTACCGCTTCATAGGGCTTTCAGCCCTCTCTAAGCGGTTTACAGAGTCAGCATATCGCCCCCAACAACAATCCGGGTCC